GAGAGAGAGAGAGAGAGAGAGAGAGAGAGAGAGAGAGAGAGAGAGAGAGAGAGAGAGAGATTGCTGGGGGAGTGGTGAGAATTAGAGAATCAACTTTGAAAATCAGTGTACATATTCTGTGTGTGTGTGTGTGTGTGTGTGTGAGAGAGAGAGAGAGAGAGAGAGAGAGAGAGAGAGAGAGAGAGAGAGAAGGAGATAGATTTGGGTATCACAATTACAGAACTGATGTGTAGCACTATTCCTGTGGAAACAAAGACACACATATACTTATCCCAGATGAGGAACCAATGACAAATCAATATTGGGAACCAACAGAGTTCAACTTGGTGCACCAATGGGGTTTCTTTTTTATTGATGTTTCATCATGTATGTCGGTGAACTAATGTGTGTTCCTGGTGCTCGCAGAGTCCAGAAGAGGGCACTGGGAACTCAAAGTGAGTCTTGAAAGAGCAGACAGTGCTCTTAAACACTGAGTCATCTCTAAATGCCAATGGACCAGTGAGTATGCTTGGGTGACTTATAAGAGTGTGGGTGAGTAGCTACTGGTAGAAACACAAAGGACTGAATGACAGTTGCTTCACCCTGTGAGGGTGATGCTAATGAAGCTGCAAATCTAAGGATCACTCACTGCACAGCTTGCTGGCAGCTCACCTGAGGGAGGAAGTTTGTCTTTCAAGCCACCCACTAACTCTTCCAGGCAGCTTGACCTGTCTTGTCTGATTCAGGCTACTTGACTGATGTCTGCTTCATGGCTGGTCTGAATATCTTCTGAGCTCATTTTGCCTGATAGTATTAGAGTCCATATTGATTATATATGCTTGAGGCAGGAGGGCACTGGTAAATTTTGCCAGTTTCTGGGACTTCCTGAAGCTATTAAGTCATCTATATTGCCTGGAGATTCTTTGTAGGATAGAATGTATGATCTCCCATTAAAACATCCATTTATTTACCTCTGCTTTAATAGCCTATATTTTAAGGAACTTCCTCCACTGGAAGGTTTAATCTCTGTAGAAGCTGATACATAACAACCACTCCTGCTCGTGCCCTCCAAGGACTCTCCATCTTTACCAAGAAGCACTTGCCCATGAAGTTCATTTCACCTTTATTCACAGTATGTAGGCAATGGAATCAATGCAGACATCTCTCAACTGACACATTTGTAAATGAAACTGTGATACTTATAAGAAGGTATATTACTCAGATGTCAATAACGAAACTGGGAAATCTGGAAATTATCATGAGTGCTGCTGCCTAGGCCCTAGCAGTCAAACATCATGTTTCCACTTGCTTCAAACTTTTGTTTTGTGTGTTCTAGTGAGACTACATGTAGATGCCAGGATGCTAGAAATGCACCTTGTAGTGGAGAGATTCAGGAAGAGAGAGAAAGAGAGGGTAGATATTAGAATAGAGGTGATACGAAAATAGAGTGGGAATGCTGGGTACATGATTCAAACATGTAGTGAGTGAAGGTGAAGAAAGGGGGCTGCTAAAGCTCGACTCAAATGACATGTCCATGAATGAGCTACACGGAAACCTATTGTTTTGCATCCCAAGTAAAAAATGTAATAAGAGGGGATAGCAGAACACATGTGCTATAAAGGAACGGGGCATTGGACAATGTTTAATATGCATTTAACTTGAGATGGGGACAGGAAGAAAGAAGAGTGGGTGGGCTATCCAAAGCATAGCTTTATGAAGAAGCTGTATGAAAGAATCCCACTATCTTACAAGTTATATAGGAAATATGATTTTAAAGCCATTGAGTGGCAGTGTCACACATGATTAAATAATGCTGTTCCCAGATGCCAGGGCTATTAAATGGAGCTCTCTGTACCAGACACTTGTATCTGCTTAGGATTTACTCCTCATGGAGGCCACAGAGACATCCCAAACAAAACAGGTCATTGTCAGTTCTCTTGCATGGCCATCCTAAGCACCTGGTGTTATTGATGACACCAAACACTTTGGTTACAAGATACACAGAGAACAATCTTGAACATACCAGGAAACTCCTAACTGGCTAGCTGAACCGTGTATCCACAGTACCAATTCACTATCCAGGATGTGTGAACTCACCTATCTCTGTGTATAGAGCACTGCAATGAGCGGTGTGCATCATTACATCCTTAGCCTTTGAGTATTCCAACTATAATACATGCGCAGCCTACCTCATTATAGTGTGTCTCTCTCTTGATATTTGCAAGGCTAACTCTATTATGAAGACTTTGACAGTGAATAAAAGATGATAATTAGAGCATTTACTTTTATGATGAATTTTCTTTTATCTCTGCAATTTTAGCACTATTTTTGTAAAGCATTTGTCAAATTCAAAACAACTGTGGGCAATGTAAGTTTCAAAGAGGCATGGGGAGTATATAAGGTATACTTTAACATGGTTTCTCAGAACTATGAACTTTGTGATGTACACTTTAATTACATATCTTTGCTAATTATTTATGTAATTATATGTTGTTCTTATTTACCATTGTTCTTTTTTATTTTTTTTTTTATTTTGTTTTTGAGAAAGGGTCTATATAGTCATGACAGTCCTAGAATTCACTATGTAGATCAGGATGAACCCGGACTCACAGTGATCTGCTTGGCTTTGTCTTCTAAGTGCTGCAATTAAAGGCATACACTATCTTGCCTTGCATTATTATGAATGGTTAGATGTTAAAAAAAAAGATGAATGTTTTTGTTATAGCTTTTCCCAGGGGTGGGTTAAGAGCACTGCTTGCTCTTACAGTGAATGGGAGTTCAATTGCCAACATACAAATAGCTACACACAACTAGGTGTACTGCCAACTTCAAGGGATCTCATGCTCTCTTCTGCCTTCTACCGGCACCAGGCATACATGTAACGCACAGAGAATACTTGCAGGCCTGGCAAACGTAAACATTAAAAAAAAAAAAAAGCTTTTCATGAAGTTATAATTACAGAATTTTATGTTAATATAAACTCTTATTTAAAGATTAAAATCTACATTAAAGGCTTTCAAAAGCTTCTTGTTTTATGTTTCTATTACTTATACTGTTGTGATTTGTAAGCAGGGAATAGCAGATAAATGCTATGTCACAATTGTTAGAATGCTTTGTTTTTCTCCAGTATGAACCCTCTGATGTCTTCTCAGATTTGAAATCTGGATAAAGGATACATCACAGTCTTGGCATTTGTAAGGTTTCTCTCCAGTATGAATTTTCTGATGGGCTCTAAGATATGAGCACCTAGTAAAAGATTTGCCACATTCCTTACATATGTAAGGTCTCTCTCCAGTATGAACTCTCTGATGTGTTCTAAGATGTGAGTCCTGGGTAAAGGATTTGTTGCATTCCATACATTTGTAAGGTTTCTCTCCAGTATGAATTTTCTGATGTATTTGAAGAGTTGAACACTTAGTAAAAGATTTGCCACATTCCTTACATACGTAAGGTCTCTCTCCAGTATGAACTCTCTGATGTATTCTAAGATTTGAACGCTGGATAAAGGATTTGTTACAGTCTCTACATTTATAAGGTTTTTCTCCAGTATGAATTTTCTGATGTGCTCTAAGAGTTGAGCACTCAGTAAAAGATTTGTCACATTCCTTACATCTGTAAGGTTTCTCACCAGTATGAACACTCTGATGTCTTCGAAGATGTGAGCACTTGGTAAAAGATTTATCACATTCTCTGCATTTAAAAGGTTTCTCTCCAGTATGAATTTTCTGATGTGTTTTAAGAGTAGAATTAACAGTAAAGGATTTATCACATACCTCACATTTGTAAGGCTTTTCTCCAGTATGGATTCTGTAATGCCTTTTAAGATGTGATAATTCAAGAAAGGACTTACCACATTCTTTGCATTTGTAAAAATTCTCTAGAGAATGAGTTTTCTGATGCCTTCTATATGATGCATAGTGGATGAAGGACCTGTCACACTCATTGCATTTGTAAGGCTTCTCTCCAGTATGGAGTCTGTAATGGCTTCTAAGGTGTGAAAGTTGATGTAAGACTTTGCCACACTGTTGACAAGTATAATGTTTCTCAGTACTATGGATATTCTGATGTCTCCTGAAACTGGAAGAGTGGGCAAAGGATTTATCACATTCCTTGCATTTGTAAGGCTTCTCTCCAGTATGCAATTTCTGATGGCTTTTAAGTGCTGACAACTGAGGAAATGACTTTCCACATTCTCTGCATTTGTAAGGCTTCTCCCCAGTATGAAGTCTTTGATGTATTTTAAGATTTGTGCACTGGGTAAAGGATTTGTCACAAACATTGCACTTGTAGGGTTTCTGTCCAGTGTGAATTCTCTGATGTATAGTGAGGCTTGAGGCGGTACTGAAACATTTCCTGCATTTCCCACACTGGTGTGGTGTCTCTCCAATGTAGATTGTTTGTTGCATGAGACTGTAGGTAGAGAGGAAATTGTCATCATAGTCTCCCTGACTCTGCAGTTTGTTTCCAATATAGAGTCTCTGATCTTCACTAATGTTGGAACACAAACTGAAAGATTTCTCACAGTCTTCAGATTTGTGAAGTTCTTGTCCAGTGTGTGTGCTTTTATGTCTATCTGGATTTGAGGAGTCAACAGAGGCATCCCTGTCCTTAGGGCACCTGTGGTTATTAGAGGTTTCTGTAGTGTCACTTCTTTTATAAAGTGCAGAGTTGGAGGCATCTTGAAGCATTTCACCAAGCTCATTACACTGACAAAACTCCTTTTCAGTCTTCACATGTTGATGGACAGCATCATGTATGCAATAGTTCTCTGAAAATTAGTACAATTCAGGTTAATAGACATGTATCCAGATGATAAATGACTGTCTCTGTAAGTTCTCTATTAAAATAAGTCAACCTGTAACTATTTAGAATAGATCTTCCACTGACACTATTCATTCACTGTAACTGTATAGATCCTCACAAAAACAGCATGCCAGCCTTCAAGGTCAGGGATTTCTAATAAGATATCTGATCTTTACTGAAAATGTCTAACTTGGTATAAGACGGAACAAGCAATTCTAGGTAAGTAATTAGCTTTGAGATTGAGCTCACTCACTGATTATATTTAGAATATGTCTCCATATTTTTAAATATTTTTTCTCAGAAATGGCTAAAGACTTTACTCCAATCCCAGGCTCACAGTGTTTGTACTTCCTAATGTATGGCAATCAATATTATTGTTCAGGAGACCCATTTCCTTGTAAGATAAAAGCTTACTGAAAACCATGAAAGGGTTTGTTTCTTTTCTTTTTTTAATAAAAGGGGGGAGTGTTAGATTCATCAAAAGTAATGGATGCAAAGCAAATATTTTGCCAGCTATCCAAGGCGCTAGATCACTTGAGGCAGGGCTTTCACAGGCAGCTATATCTTTTCCTTGCTCATATCTTTTCCTCCACTGTCTGAGCTCCTCACACTGCTGTGTTTCCTAACTTTCCTTATATGGTTATTCTCAAGCCTAATCTCTACCAACTCTTAAGATTATTTTCCAGAAGGATGTCTCTTTATCTTCCACTGGAATGAAAATGAAACATGTAATATGAAGACATACAAGCAAGCAAGGCAATTACAGAATAATCCTACTTCATGGACTCAGACTTATAATTTGTAAAATGATTCCAATCTGATGGCTGCACCATCAAGAAAAATTGCACACTGTACTAGTGTTTAGTTCCCATTCAGGTCTACAGGTCTCATAAGTCACAACGACTTCTAAGAGTTACAGCAGGCAGGACGCACGTTGAGGACAGGACATTGTAGTAAGTACAAGGACCAGGAATCCTTTCAAGGAGAACTTAATACAGCAAAGGCAGTTTCAGCTCTTGCTTTCTCTCTCACTTGAATCCTTCACTGTTGTCCTGCTCATTCACTTGCCCTCCCTGGTTTTGGCTACTACAATTATCCATCTTCCAGGGCAACCTCATTTGTTCCAGCAGGCAACCAGGCCTACTCTGCACACAATAACCCACGGTTTCTGTGAGGAAATCTATGACCAGTGCTAGAACTGTGGGAAAAAATACAGATGTGTGAGACAGCACTGTGCTCAGGACATGAGAAGTGCTCAAAGTAGAGGAGTCTAGGAATAAATTCCCAATTACGATTTCCAGTCAGAATCTCCAGCATATTCTGGGAGAATTTTCAGATTGTACATCTTGAATTTTCCTTACAATTAAGACAGTGTGAACTGTAATGATGGGTATAGATCTTTAAGACGTGGGTGGAAATAGTATATGCTACTGAATGAGTGTATACTGGAACCAAAATTAAGGGTACATGGCATCTCTAAAATGAAAAATAAAAAAAAAATACTAAATACCATGAAAATATTCTTTTTTCTCCTTAACATTTATATATATTTTTACTGATTCTTTGCCAATTTCGCATCATGCACCTTAATTCCACTGATATCCCAGTCCTTCCAAATCTGCCTCCTACCCTTGTAACCTACCCCTCAAAAGAAAAGAAAAAAATTTAAATTTAAATTAACAAAATTCTCCTTAACCCTTATGGAAAACTATGTGCCCTTGTATCAACTGCAGTCTTCTCTTACACCCGGAACGGCTGTTCCTGCATCAGTCCTAATGTACATGTACAAGTCCACTCTTCCAACACATATCTGTATAAGTGGCATTGGAAGCTGTGGCTTGTCACACCATATATTTTTTCACCCAAACAGTTTTAATTGGAAATGTTTGTTGCAATGAGTCATTATTCTGGTTCCAGGCCTCTGGCTTCTCCTATATCAATACTAAACTCTGGCCTAGACTGCTTTTGGATATATTGTTGTTGCAATGTGTCATGGAGATCCTGCAGCTTTGGTTCACCAGGACTAGCCCCTTCATGTGCTCCAATAGTTCATAGATAGTGTACAGGTTGGGGTGGATTAACTCAAAGTCCTGGAACTGAGCTTTGGTGGTAGCTGAGTTGGTCTGCATATCACATTTACTGCACCAGTGCCAACACCTAGGCAATAGGTGGGGTCAGCTTCCTCATGCCCAAGTCACAGCCTGCTCTAGCATGTGGTGGCTGATGAGCGAGTGGGACCAGCTCAGGGAGTCCCTTAGTCATCAACATGGACTCAGGCAGCAGCCCAGACAACAGACATCCCCAGGGTTCTTGGTGGTAACATGGGCCACAGACACTGACATAGAACTCTGCTGCCAATAGGGACATGGACCCAACATGGCCATGGGCGACACCATAGGCTGGACATCTCTATGGCCTTAGGTGGCAGGCCTCTAGCATCTGGCTGTTCCTTACTATGGTCTTGTCTCGAGTTCCACTGCTTCTTCATAATGTACAAACCATTATGGTTTTCTCAGTTCCAGTCTCTCTACCATGTGTTTGCTCATACTAGTGGTGCCCTTTGGCTGTCTTCTGCCCACATGGACTAGCGGACATCTTGGAAATTTTCTTTTTTATTACCAAACTCATCTTCTGGTTTTTCCATGACAGCTTAATAGAGAGTTTACAGCCTATTAAGTCAGTACTTATAATGAATGAGTTAAGAATTGTACAAGAAGAATGTTCTCACCCACAGAGACCAGATTGCTGTAATTCTCCAACATCACATCAATGTACAAAGCCCTCTGAGCAGAGTTCAGGCATTCCCATTCCTCCTGGGGGAAGTCCACAGCCACATCCCCAAATGTCAACAGACGCTGAAAAAAAAAAAATTTGACTTGGGGTTACAGGATACTTTGTGCTGTTACTTATATCCATGACATTTCCTGGATATAAGGAGACGCAGTGTTGATGAGTGAAGACCATTATCATCACATATCATCAGGAACAAACAAACAAAAAAGATAACTTTCAATATAGTCACATTTTATAATGATTTTTTTTAAGATTTAATTTTTATGTACAGTGGTCTGCCTGCATACAGGCCTACACACCAGAAGAGGGAGCCAGATCTCATTATAGATGGTTGGGAGCCACCATGTCATTGCTGGGAATTGAACTCAGGACTTCTAGAAGAGCAATCAGTGCTCTGAACCTCTGAGCCATCTCTTTAGCACCCTATAATGAATTTTCTAACCGTGAAAACAGGATGACACAAATAGTTTTACAAGCAGTCTACGAAACAAGATTCACATTTAAGATCTGGACACAGTATACATATCTCAGAAGGGCAATTTGTGATGAGGACATGTGCTTTTAAATGCTTTGCCTGAAGATTATCCTAAAATATAGACACTGAGTCAATCTTGTATGTCCTTGGGCCTTACATAATCTATTCTAACAGGCTCAGGTAACTCTAGGTATAATGCCACACCATTAAATAGCAAAGGGGCATGGAAGATAGAACTCATGATTGACTTTTTGGCAAAGAGTTGGTTTTATTTTTTTTCTTTTCAATAGTATCAAGGATTGTAATAACAGTACATACTGACATTTTTTAACTGTACCATATTTTTAAAAATCAGTAGTTTGCTCAATTTTTAAGAATATTTAGGCCACTGATATGCTGAAGGAAAAATCTGTATCAGCAACATTTAATATAATCTAAACTTTTCCTAAGAATATACAAGAGCCACCATAGACAAATAACAACTTCAGAACAGTGCATCTGCAGGGTAGGCATGGAGCACTGACATTCAAAGTGTCTAGAGGAAGGCCATCAAAAGGATAGTCTCTTTGCTACAAATGTAACAGCTTATGCACATGTCAGTTAATGCCCATAAGACATTTGTATGGGTGCATCCCACGGAATTCTACATAAGTTTAAGCCTCTGCACAGTGAGAAGTTGTTTGTGCAAAAAAATGAAAAGAAAAAATGTAAAAATACTGATCTCTCTACTTTGGCAAGTTATCCCTGAGCTTCCTAACCAAGTGAGTGATTCTCCTGAGACAAACAGATATGAGGTGCCAACAAACACATGGACACAGTGCCACCATCATGATATTAAACTCCCAAAAGAACTATAAGCAGACTACAGTCTCAGTCTATACTCAAGAACGAAGTTTCATGGCAGAATTAAGCCACATATGCCTGTCATTTTCAGCACTCTATACTGTACTTAAATCTTTACTAGTAGGATCCAAGTTTATGATTAAGAATCAAGATGTCGCCGGGTGGTGGTGGCGCACGCCTTTAATCCCAAGCACTTGGGAGGCAGAGGCAGGTGGATTTCTGAGTTCAAACCAAGCCTGGTCTACAGAGTGAGTTCCAGGACAGCCAGGGCTACTCAGAGAAACCCTGTCTTGAAAAACAAAACAAAACAAAACAAAAAAAAGAATCAAGATGTCTCTTTTAATTCCACACATTGCTAATACAATGTGACAACTATTCCATGTGTTTCAATATGCATGTTTGCATGTTTAGGACCATGATTTAAGAAAATAACACAGATCCCACAAATAAAACCTGCACAGCACATAGCCCTCACTCAATAATATAGTACATCCACTACACCAAATGGATATCAACATATTTTTTTGTTAATGTGTCATAGTGGATGTATTTTAAAATTACAAGTCATAAGTTCATGTAGAATACTTGTCCTGAAAAATAAAACTCTTGGGAGAAAGAATGGAGAAAAGTGCTATAGGAGTGGATTTTGAGTATAGCTGTAGTCATAAAGACAGCTTGGTAGAATCATAAGAAAGGAGTATGACAAAATAGAAGAAAGACTCAAAACCAAAATTTCAACTCTATGACTTCTTTAATATTTGTCAAAAGAGGCAAAAACATACATCTCAAAACTATGGTTTTCTCAACAAATTGTGATGCCAACACTAGATCCAGTAGTAGAATAAAATTAAATTCTTATTTGCCAGTTTGTGCAAAAATGCATTCAAAATGGAACAAATATCTTATGAAAACTAGACACACACACAAAAAAAGAAACCTAGAAAACACAGAAATTACCCATCAGGATATTGGAACAGGAAAGAACTTATGGAATAGAAAGAACACCAACAGTACAGGAAGTAACCTCAAGTATCAACATATGGCAAGACATGAATATAAAGTTTCTGCCCATCAAAGGAAACAAGGAGAAGAACAGAAAGATACCCACAAAATGGGACAAAATTTGAAACAGCAACATTGTGGACAGGTGCTTATATCTAGAATTTACCAAGAATACAGAAATAAAACTCCCAGAAAATAAAACTGTCAATGAACAAATGGGCAAACATACTAAAGAGACACTTTGAGTAGATAGGAACCCAAATTGCCAACAAACAGGGAATAAAATTAAAACTACTATGAAATAGTGGCTCACCCCGGGCAGAATGGCCATCTGTCATCTACTCTGACCACAAATGTTAGAGAGAATGTGGAGAGAAAGGAAGTCTTATTCACTATTGGTGTGTGTGTGTGTGTGCGTGCCCACATGCAAATTAACACAGCCATTGTAAAAATCAGTTTAGAGATAATTTAAATAATTAAAGCTACAAGTAATCTATAATTCAGCTCTTTCCTTCCTGGTAACATAGCCAGAAGACTCTACACCGCACTCTAGAGATATTTATATACCATACTGGCTGCTGCTTTCTTTATTCTTTATTCTTTATTGGAATCAACCTAATTGTCTGTCAATAGATAAATGGATAATGAAAATGTTATACATATAAAATGAAATACTATTCAGATGAAGAGAAAAATGTAATAATTTGTGGAAAAAAACCCACAAAAACAAAAACAAAAAACCCAAATGAACTCAGAATGTGTAATATTAAGTGAGGACATACTGGTAAGAAAGAAGAGTCAATATTTTCCCTCATATGAAGAATCTAGCTTATAATATGTGTAGGCTTCAATTTTTCAAAAACCTACTTTAATAAGGGTACTTAAATGCTAACTTCCCATCTAGCACACTCCCCACCAGAGGTAGTGAAAAAGAAAGATAAATAGGAAGCGGGCATTGTGGACATGTTTAGGAATAGTTCTTTGGAGCTATTCCAATCTCCATGGCCAGCAGTCCAGTCCCCTTAGCAATCACCACTCACAAATCAACAACTGCAGTTAGATGCAGAAGAAACAGTGAGGCTCTGCCAATCTCTGCCCATTGGCCCGAGACTGCGGAAGCCGCAAGAAGCTGCTGGAATATCACAAGTTCTTTGGCCAGTTACTTTCTACAAAGACACAAGCGTAGATCAGCAATGCGATACACGGCAAACCAGTATTGGAGTGTCATCAGCAAAGACTAGTGAGCCCGAGTAAGGTGAATCAATGCCAGAGGCTCCTCTCACTGTCTGTGAGGTCATATTTATATTCTTTCTAAACATCACACATCTTCTCATACATCTGCTTCAAGCAAAACATTCTCTTACCTGTGTCTGCTTTAGAAACATATCCTTTCAAGTGTCTGCTTCAGTAAAATATCCTCTTACCTATGTGCTTGAGTGAAACATTCTTTCACATGTCCGCTTCAGCACTGTTTAATGTCTGCTTCAGCAAAACATCTTTTCACCTGTGTCTGCTTCAGCAAAACATCCTTTCACCTGACTGCCTCAGCAAAACATCATATGACATAACTGAGTTTCCAAAGAAACCAGAAATTTCCACTTCTAATATGTATAGATGGAAACAATGCACATGTGGGTACAGTCAAACACAGAGAAAAGAGAACTTAAAAGGTTAAATACCCGGGGTTAAGTTAGGACTGAATGCAGGTAACAATCACCAGTTATGAGAAAGGATAAAAGGATATACAACTTTGCTAGTTCTAATTCTGATACAGGAATTTTGGTTTTTGGTGATGGACCAGTTCATAAAGATATATTTGATTATGAAAACATAAAATCACATCTGAGGCTCCAGAGCTTCTGTTACCAAAGAATACTATAACTGCAACAAAATGCATTGACTTGACTAGTCTCTGAGTCCGGTGAATTGCAATGTGATTTTCTTTATCTGTTTGCAACAATTTTCAAAATAAAATTTAAAAAATTATCAGGAGCAGAAAATTAAAGGCTTGCAATGTATCAGATTATAACATTTTTAGAAATTAAAGTAGACATGACCACTGACCTGGGACATGATTAATGGAGAATCAGCTATTTTTTTCTGTTTCTTTTCTTTGATTTTCTCTTTGAAGAACAATGAATAGCCGGCTTGTGGCCCTTTAATATCAAGGAGTCAAAAAGGAAAAGGAAAATTAATACTGAATGTTGTTAAAAAACAATGTGAGATCACATAAAAAGACCCAAGCAACAAAATACTACCTGGTGTCTGTCCAGTGATCCCAAAGCCAGGAGAGCATGGAAAGACTTGGAAAGAAAATCACCAGCAACCACATTATTGCACTCAGAAAAATACTCTCTCAAATACAATGGAGTCATAAGTGCATTTGAAAACAGTCATGAATTAGCACAATTCATTTTACTAAAGCAGCATAGCACATAATAAATTACAGGTAAAACATATGCAGGAGAAATGGAGGAATTATCTATCAGAACATGGGAAATAACACATTTCATGTGAAGAATAGATAAATATAAGAAACTGGGAAGTGATCACTCATGCTCAAGACAATAAAGCACTCGATCACTCAGTAAAGACAGAATAGTACACATAATCCAACCATCAACAACATAAAAAACAAATCATTGGGAATAAAAATACTATGAACAAAAACAAGTGGCTACTCTGGAAATCAATAGAGAGAATTGTCAATTAAATAAACAAATCCTCAAATTAAATAAATCTAGCACATGACACGGCTGTTCCACTCCTTGGCTTATGCTCAACGGGCTCAACATCCTACTCCACAAAAACATGTCAAATGCTGCTATATTCATAATAGGTACAAAATGGAAACAATTTAAATGTCCTTCAACTGACAAATTATTACAGTGTTCATATAAATAATGTAATATTATTCAGCTGTATAGAAAATTGAAATCATATTTGCAGTTAAATCGACGAACCTAGAAAAGATCATATGGAGTGAAGTAACCTAGACCCAGAAAGACAGACATTGAATGTTCACCCTCAAAAGAAGTTCCTAGCTCCAAATCTTCAGATGTGAATTCACACCATGGAGTAACTGCAGTAACCAGAAGAGTAAAAGCAGACAATGGTGGGATGTGGAAGAATAATAGACAGGCGATAATAGGGAAAAAGTGATCTTCGAATTTCCTCAGTGTCTGTTGTTATGTTTCCCTTCTCACTTTTGATTTAACTGGGATACTGTCTCTCTGCCTTTTAGTTAGTTTGGCTAAGGGTTTGTCTATCTTCTTGACTGTTTTAAAGAACCAGCTCTTGGTTTCCTAGACTGTTTGTATTGATCTTTTTGTTTTTAATTGATTGATATGAACCCTCAGATTGATTATTTCCTGCCCTCTACTTCTCTTGGCTGTGTTAGCTGCTGCTGCTCCTGCTGCTCCTGCTGCTGCTGCTGCTGCTGCTTCTCCTCCTCCTCCTCCTCCTCCTTCTTCTTCTTCTTTGAGATTTCAGGTATACTGCTAAATTGTCAGTATGAGAACTCTACAATTTCTTAGAAAGCACTTAGTGCTATGACATCTCTCATTGAGTCCCAAAATTTTGGGTATATTTTCATTGAATTCTACAAAGTACTTTATTTATTTATTTATTTATTTATTTACTCTTTGACCCAGCAGTCATTGAGTAGAGAGTTGTTCAGTTTCTATGATTTTGTAGGCTTTTTGTTGTTTCTGTTGTTGTTGAATTCCAGCTTTACTGCATGGTGATGATAGGGTATAAGGGTTATTTTAACTTTCTTGTATTGGTTGAGACTTTCTTTGTCACTGAGTATATGGTCAATTTTGGCGAAATTTTCATGAGGCACTGAGAAGAAGATAGCTTATTTTGTGTTTGGGGCAATTATTCTGTAGATATCTTTCAAGTCCATTTGATTCATAACCTCTGTTAGTTTCATTATTTCTCTGTTTATTATCTGTCTCTGTGACGTGTCAGTTGGTGACAGTGGAGTTCAATGTGTGATTTCAGCTTCAGTGATGTTTCTTTTATGAATATGGGTGCCTTTACATTTGGGGTATAAATGTTTAGAACTGAGACATCATCTAGGAGGACTTTTCCTTTGATGAGTACGAAATGTTTTTCCATATCTCTTTCTTTCATTACTTTTGGTTCAAAGTCTATTTTATTACATATTATAATAAGTACATCAGCTTGTTTCTTGGATCCATGTGATTGGAAAATCTTTTTTCCAGCCCTTTCCTATAAGGTAATGTTCATATTTGTTGCTGAGGCATGTTACTTGTATACACCAGAATGACAGATTCTGTTTACATATCTACTCTCTTATCATGTGTCTTTTTATTGGGGAATTGAGTCTATTGATATTGAGAGATATTAATGACCAATGATTGTTAGTTCCTGTTATTTTGATGTTGTGGTTGGTTCTCTCTCTCTCTCTCTCTCTCTCTGTGTGTGTGTGTGTGTGTGTGTGGTGTGTGTGGTGGGGGTGCGTGTGGGGGTGCGTGTGTGTGCGTGTGTGTGATTCTCTCCTTTTTGTTTTGCTGGCTTTGAATTATCTATTTCTTGTGTCTTCTTGGATGTACATACCCTCCTTATATTGGAGTTTTCCTTCCAATATCCTCTGTAGGGCTAGATTAATGGGAACATGTTGTTTAAATCTGGTTTTGTCACAGAATATCTTATTTTCTCCTTCTACAGTAATTCAAAGTTTTGCTGGGTATACAAGTTTGGGTTAGCATCTGTGATCTCATAGCGTCTGTAAGACATCTATCCGTCCAGGTCCTTCTGGCTTTTAAACTCTCTGTTAAGCCTGATGTAATTCTAATAAATAGGCCTTTATATGTTACTTGATATTGTACTACAGAGCAATAGCAATGAAAACGGCATGGTATTGGTATAGAAACAGACTGGTTAAACAATGGACCCAGAAATAAACCCACATACCTATGGGCACTTGATTTTTGACAAAGAAATCAAAATCATATGTCATAGTTAGGGTTCTACTGCTGTGAATAAATACCAAGACCAAGGCAGCTCTTATAAAGGACAACGAATAATTGGGGCTTACAGGTTCAAAGCTTTAGTCCACTATCATCAAGTTGGGAGCATGGCAGGACCTAGGCAGGCATGGTGCAGAAGTAGCTGAACATTCTACATCTTCATCTGAAGTCTATTAGGAGAAGACTGGCTTCCAGGCAGGTAGGAAAAGGGTCTCTTTTGTTTTGTTTTGTTTTGTTTTGTTTTGTTTTGTTTTGTTTTTCGAGACAGGGTTTCTCTGTTTAGTCCTGGCTGTCCTGGAACTTACTCTGTAGACCAGGCTGGCCTTGAACTCAGAAATCCGCCTGCCTCTGCCTCCCAAGTGCTGGGATTAAAGGCGTGCGCCACCACTGCCCGGCTAAGGACAAGTGTCTTAAAGTCCATACCCACAGTGACACATTTTCTCAAACAAGGCTATACCTCCTAATAGTGCCACTCCCTGGGCCAAGCATATTCAAACCACCATAATCCACTCCCTGGCCCCTATGGCTTGTATAAACACATGAGTCTGTGGGGGGCTATACCTAGTTATAGCATAATAAAAAATACATTTAGTCCAACTTCCAAAGTGCCCATGTTCTATAGCAGTCTCAGCAAAGTAAGAAGTTCAAAGTCTCTTCTGAGACTCAACCAACCACTTAACTGTAATCCCCAAAGCAAGACAGAAAAACATTTTGGCAAACTTCAAACTCTGCATCTTCATGTCTGATGTCAAAGCACTCTTCAGTTCTCAACTCCTTTTTCATCTTTGTTGACTGCAACAAACTTCTTTCTACTGGGCTGGTCCCACTCCCTGTTAGCAGCTTTCCTAAGCAGATAACCCAACACTCTGGCATACTGAACATCTTGGGGTCTCCAAGGCAACTTCAACTTCACAGCTTCTTGTTTCAATGTCTGGGGTCATGTGTGGACATGATCTTCTAGGCTCCTCCAAAGAGCTTGGGTCACATCACCATCTCTTTCCTCTGTAGCAGTCTAGACTCTGGTTGACTCTACTCCATTGCTGCTGCTGTTCCTGGTACTGGTATCTCCAATGCACTGTGACCTTCTGCTACAACTAGGCTTCACCAATAGAGTCTCATAGGCTCTCTTCCTGGTGTGAAGCCTCAGCTTATCTGCATGACCCCTTCAGTCTAGGGGTATAAACTATACCTGAGGCTGCACCTTCACCAATGGCCTTCCTTGGCCTTCACTCTGCCAGGCATCAGCTGCTCTCCATGTCCCCTTCATATGTTCAGAACCAATACAACCTGAGTGATTCTTACACATTACCAAGTTTAGCTGCACCACAAGGTACAACCCTGGCTATCTCTGGAACATAGCTTCTTTGTACACTCAGAAAACACTTCCCAGAGGACTTCACCTCAGTGAGGCTGGCCTATTTTTAATCACCATCAATTTCTTAGCTCCAGCTAACCAGCACCAATTGTTCCAAGAGTCCATTCTATTCTTAACTCTAAAGCCAGAGCTACATGGCAAAGTACTGCTTGCTAGGGCTGGAACATCCCTCCTTATTCTATTACCAACTTTTTCTGTTTTCCACCTCCCTGGCTGCCTAAGATTGGCTGTTCTGAAACTTGCTGTGTAGGTTGACCTTGAACTCAAGAGATCTGCATGGCTCTGTCTCTTGAATACTGGGATCAAAGGCATGTATCACCATGCCTGGACTTAAGCTATTCTCTACTTGGAACTTGTTCTATACCAGACTGGCCTCTACCTCAGGAATCTGCTTCCCTTTGTGCTCATGCTTGGACCTAAGCGTTTCATGGCCATTGCTTCTTCCAGCCTCAATATCTGGATCACAAGTGTGCACTCCATTTTTGGATTGTAGTTCATTCCAGATTAAAAGTCAAAACTATTCTTTGTTCAACTACAAACACAAACAATAAGCTGAGCGGTGGGATCATGCCCTGAGATCACCACTCCCTTCATCTCTTAATCTCCTTGAACATAGGATTCAGCTCCATTTCACTTGCTGGTGCCCCTTTATTACTTGAACCATATATTGTATATTTTTTTCTTTCTCAGCTTGCTCCTTTTCATTAAAACATTCTTCATAAGATTAAACCAGAGAACAAACTCTCTGCTGGGCTCTTTTGAGACTTCCTTTGTCAATGCAATTAATATTAATATAAATCTCTTTACTTTAGCCTCAGGTAGACTCTTCAGAAAGGGCAAAAAGAAGCCGTATTCTTCACAAAAATCCCACAACAAGAGTCTGTAGGCTACATACTGAAATTCTTCTCCACTGACACCTCTCTGGCCAGGTATGAACAGTTCAAATCACTCTCAGCAACAAAGTGTTCTATATTCCTACTAGGACGGCCCATTAAGACCCACTTAAAGCATTCCACTGCTTTCTAAATCCAAAATCCCAATATCCACATACTTCCAAACAAAAGCATGTTCAGGCCTATCATAGCAATACCCCAGTTCTGGGTACCAACTTCTGTGTTAGTTAGGGTTTTACTGATGTGAACAGACATCATTACCAAGGAAACTCTTATAAGGACAACATTTAATTGGGGCTAGTTTACAGGTTCAAAGGTTTAGTCCATTATCATCAAGGCAGGAGCATGGCATCATCCATGCAAGCATGGTGCAGGAAGAGCTGAGAGTTCTACATCTTCATTTGAAGGCTGCTAGAAGACTGGCTCCCGGGCAGCTAGTCGAAGGGTCTTAAAGCCCACACACACAATGACACACTTCCTCCAACAAGGCCATACCTACACCAATAAGGCTATACCTCCTAATAGTGCCACTCCCATATTCAAAAGGCCAGTGACTTGATGTACTATGGGGTGGTGATGAGGGTACTCCCCCTTATCAGAGGAGAAGGGGAGGGAAGAATGGGAGGAGTACCCCCCCGTGTGAGGGGGTACTTGGAAGAGGGGGACAGATAGTGGGTTGTAAAGAAAACAAATAACTTATTAAAAAAAAAAGAATGGGATATATTATTGAGAAATTTGTTGTATATATGAAAGTGATTTATATCTTCAGTTCAAATAGCATTACATTTAAACTTCCCACAATAACCTTCAGAGAATTAGGAAAGAGAAACCTAGAATTTATATTGGCCCAGAAATTTCCTGAGTACAAAACAACCTCGGGAAAATATTGCAATGCTTCAGCTATCCCAATGATTCCAGATCAGCCCAATGCAGTGGACCAGCAGACCTTATATCTGCCAAATAGCAAATGTGACTGCAGCCAAAATACCTCAAGCACGGGTTGCAGAGTAGACAGCCTTGTCAAACAGTGGCATTGGGAAAGTATCTATCCATATATAAAAACATGAACCTGGGTCTAAGTCTCTCCTAGAATCATAGACCTTCATGTAAGATCTGAAACAGTGAATATTGCAGAGTAACAAAAAGGGGAAAACATCTGATTTAAGAGCAGTGACTGACAAACAGTATTGTGTAAAATGAAAAACATCCAGGGAAATGACAATACCTAAAAGTATAAAGAGATAGAATACACTGTAGATACACTCATTAGCTACCTGTTTACCAAACAATGGGTAAAAATCCAGAATCAATCAAAACATTAGAAAGGAAACAATATGATAATATAATCAATAAATAAGAAAATGATTGAACCCTCCATGTTGAACAGCAGTTGCAGTGGCCAATATGCACATATTAAAAAGCTCTACAATATAGGCCATGAGATCCTATAAATTCAATGTACAGAGATTCCAATTCTGTCTAGTCAGTGTCCACAATCATGTTCTGAAACAGTAACAAATGTATCTTTTCAGCACTTTCTTGAAATGTAAATGGATATTATTCCCTAAGCTAAAGATGTAAACAGAGCAGAGTGTTCAAAAAATTGACAGCTGAAATTAAAATATATATTTTCTACCAAAAAATCTATTTCATATCTAAAGATACAAGATACCGAGCAATATTTTTTCAAGACAGGGTTTCTCTGTGTAGCCATGGCTGTCCTGGAACTTACATTGTAGATGAGGCTAGCCTAGAACTCACAGAAATCTGCCTGTCTCTTCCACAAAAGTGCTATGATTAAAGGCTTGTAATACCAAAATCTGGCATAAAAAAAAATAATTAAAGGCTATGACTACAGCAGCAGTAAAGAGGGTTGATGATCATAATTACACTAGTGACAGAAAAAAACAAGACAAAAGAATTAAAATACAAAATTAAGGGTATTAGCAAATGATAAAATGGTCCACTAGATATAAAGTCCTTGATCAACACAGGTGCACTCTGCAACCCAGCATGCAGAAATTCCCAGCAGACATGAACAGAAGACTACATAAAACATGTAAAACCTGGCACATTGACCATATTCTTTTCATCCTGAGAAGACAACCTAGAAAGAGGACTGTCTTAGATGCCAACCAATTCCTATTCAACCAATCCCTATTAAAACTCTATTTTCATATTTTACTGAAAATAATCCTATAGTACCAAGGAACAGTAAATAGCCAGAAAAAAAATCTCACCTAGGGGTGGTCTCAAAGTATATTAACAGATACAGCAATGGAAACCACTTAGAGCTGTCAGGGCAACAGACGATAAGAGATATCCATGGGAAGACAGAATAGACAGAGTTTAATAGCCTGCAAGTAATTTCATGATTCTTAACAAAACTTGGTTGGCATTATTTTCAGAAAGAAAAAATATAGAGAACATGCTAGAATACCAAAAGCTCAAATATTCCTAAAACAATAAACAAACCTAGAGGTATTAATTTTCATCATTCTATAATATATTGAAATCAGTGGGATGAAAACTATTTAATATTGGCATGTAGACATGATCAGTGATGTGCATGGACTCACATGCACAGTCAAATAAAATCTTTATTTCCCTCCTAGTATCAGTTCTTCTGTAGAAAGTCTTCTCACTTCTAAAATAGGAAATCCTGAGACTTTTCTCAGCGGAAGTCTCCAGAATTATTTCTAGTGAAACAGAATGTGGCAAAACTGACTTCATGTCTTACTTTCACATTCAGTTGAACCCTTTGCCATCCCTTCACCAATCCTCCAACATACCTGGATCCTTAGCTACTGTCTCCTCCCTCTCCATCTTCCAGGTCTCGCTGTTGTGCTCCACAGGTGAGCAGGTCTGGGTGATCAGTGAGCCCTGCACATGAGAAAGAGATTCTTCAGAAAGCACCTGGATTGCTAACTTACTACTGTGCTCAGTAGGTTAAGAGAAATGAAATTGAGGATTCTACAGTGAACCCTTCCCATGTCACATAGTGTTGGAATACTGAAAATATTTAAAAAGTATTTTCATTTACCACAACTTGAACCTCACCTCCAATCACAGCTCTGTCTAATCCCAGGGGCAGAAATGGAACTGAATGATTGGGATGAGAATATTATATACTAGTGAGGTTCTAAATTTATCCCAAAAAAAGACACCAAAGAAAACATTTCCTGAAATGTTTTTGTTCCTCTGAGGATTTCGCCTTACTCTGTAGAATGTGAGACTCATCCACATAAATCTCACATACTTGCAGTCTAATTTGCCAAGAACCCTAAGGAGGAGCAAGGGAGACAGCAAGAAAACTATTCTCATCCACAGAAACCAGACTCTTCTAATTCTGCAACATGCAGTCTCTGTACAGAGACCTCCTAGCAGGGACCAGGCATTGCCCCTCCTCCTGGGAGAAGTCCACAGTCACACCACTGATTGTCAACAGATCACAAAAGACAACAGGTTGAACATTCCTGCTGCTGTACAACTTTAATGTGAGCACTGAGGAGATAGAGGTCGGTGGAAATCTGTGAATTCCAGTCCAGCCTGGTCTACATGGTGACTTCTACATAACAGTCTGGTCATGTGTCCATGGGCAGAATGCTTTTCCTGAACCAAGAAGACAAGGGGATTGTAGAGATTTTTCTGATGTATATGAGTTAACATAATTATTCATAAGATCATTTTTAATATTATCCTATACTATAATTAATGCCTTTTACTTTTGTTTCAATCTGTCTTTTTGCTGCAAAACAGAGTTTCTCTGTGTAGCCCTGGCTGTCCTTAAACTCTCTCTACAGAGCAGGCTGGCAAAGAATTCCAAGATCTACCTCCCTCTGCCTCAGGAGTGCTGGGATTACAGGTGTGTGCTACCACCACAAGCTGGTCCATACTACCTTGTCTAACTATGAAAATCCTGTGACCTGGTTCCCTCAAACAGCATACTGTGATTTCCAGGCTCTAATTTGCAATATTAAGAATCCAGAATAAGTAGACACATTTTTTTTTCCTTTTTCTTGTTTGACCCACCTGCTTGCCTTCCTTCCCCCCCTCCTTTCCTCTGTCTTATCCTTCCTTCTACCTTCCCCTTCTTTTTCTTGTTGTTGTATTTATATTTAAGTTTTAGAGACAGGTTCTCACAATGTAGCTGTGATAGTCCTGGAACTCACTACGTAGCCCAGGTTGGCCTACAACTAACTCATGGAGATCCACCTGCCTTTGTCTCCTATGTGCTGAGATAACAGATGAGTGTCACCACGACTGGCGGCACACTTTTCACAACGCTGTATTTACATCACAGCGTGCATACACAGTTTTAGATGGAAAATTAATGGTGGCTAAAACGTTGAGTTTTAAAAGTTAATTTTTACATCCATAACTGTCGAACTCACAACAAATTGTACTCTGAATTAACTTTGCAGGTGTTCCTTTTATGACTAATATCTAAAAGCTCTAGGGGAATCCTAGACCCTAGGTCCATGTGCCACTCTCTTGAATAGGGAAGTGGTAGAACACGGAAGTTAGCATGGATAATCGTAAATTTCAAGAGCTTTATCATTTCCACAATAGCAAAGAGAACTGCGTTTGTAAATATCAACCGACAAATTTAAATATTCTACTAGATTATTCCTAGGAGACTATCTGGAGGCTAGATCAATTAAAAAATAGCATTATCCAGTTAATATTATTGAAAATTTATCGACGAGGGTAAGTCATCCACAGCACAATTTTGAGAGCTGTCATCCTTATGAGTAGCGAAGACACTGATCATGCTGTGCTCAGCTCCCTCCCGGTTCCCAACTCCGCAGCTTCTCTGACCTGGGAGGTTCCAGGGTCGCCGGGATGCGGTTCCCGCCGCTGAGCCGCTGACTCTCCCAGGATGCCCCGCCTGGCACCTGTGGCTTAGGGGAGTTTACGGGTCCCGCAAGACCCCGGCCGCAAGACCACGCGACTCCACACAGTGCAAGCCCTAGGCCGGAAATTGGTTATGACTCTTTAGCTTCAATTCCTTAGCCTCACACACATTGAATCCCAGTATCCCAGCTGGTCACTCCTCTAAACCCGCCCACTCCACACCTTTCCTCTACAACCAGCCAATGTGTAACATCCTTCCATTCTCTGTTTCCGGGCGAGTAGCCCCGCCCCACGGAAATCAGTCCCTCCCACTCGGTCTCAGGCTTCCTTCCACGCAGCTCCAACCGTCAGGCTGCCCTGGACCTGCTTTGCACAGTCTCCCCACATGCTTGCTGCGAGCCTGGGCCAGAACTGGATCTGATAGGACGCAGCACCCCGGTATCGGACCCCCATAGTGAGTTCTGAACCCTTCAGATACAAAATAGGCAGCCTAACACCCCCATTGGACTATCAGCCTCTGGACCATATAATGTATACCAAAGAGCAACAGGCTAAATTCAGATGCCAGAGCGCCATCTATTAAAATACAAACGTGAGAAGCCAAAACCATATACTGTAATTTTGATTTTGGGAGAGATCTTTCAGGAATGTGGACCATAGTCTCTGTCTCGAAATAAAGAAAACCTGAAGAACAGCTTGCACTGCATCGGTAGCACAAGCGATTGAAAAGTCCTACCCACCTAAGGTGTCTATTGTTAGACATCCGTGTGCAGCTTAGAACTGACAACACCAGACCTAAGGGTTCCAAGGGGGAGGGGTTATTCAGGGCAAATGTGGAGGGAGAGACATAGAAGAAGATGGCAGAGGAAGAGAGCAAGGTCAGGGAGTTCTGCCTCTTGTATATGGGCGGTGACATAGCCTCTCCCAGGTAAAGGTGAAGTAGCCAGGTGGATTCTGGGAGTGTATGGCAGTTGTCTTGGCAACGATGTGGGGGTTGCTTAGATGTGATGTCACTGGGTTCAAGCCTGATAGCAACATCCATGAACCACATCAATGGTCCCAGTTACTTTTGCAGAATTTTAGTTTAGTATAAGTGTTTTAAGATTTAAACTACATTGAAAGCTTTTGCAAGTTTCTTAACTTTATGTTTCCATTACTTACACTGTTGGGATTTGTAAGCAAACCTCTGAGGAGTTAACACTTTCTTACACTATAATTTCATGGATTTTCAGAAAAACGGAGTGACAGTCTTCAAGGAAGATGAAGCAAATAATTGAGAAATCAGTAATCAGCTTTAGGATGCAGCTCAGTGACTAATTATGTTCAGAGTATACATTCCTGTTTTTAAATATTTTTTCTCAGATATTGATGATGTAGAACAGTTTAATGCAACTCAGATTCACAATGCTTGTGTAAATTAATGTACCATAATGAAGATTACTATTCTGATAACCCAGACTTTGTAATATTAAAGCCTCTGTTTAAAGCATCAAAGACCTATTTTCTTTCTAAGAGAGAGACAGAGAGACAGAGAGACAGACAGAGAGAACCACTAGATTCTTCAAAAGTTATTAATCTAAAGCAAATATTCTGGCAGATGTCAGAGGTTCTAGGTGATTTGAGTCAGGTCTGCAGTAGGAAGCTGTTGCTTATTTCCTTCCTCAGCTGTCTGAGCTCCACACACTGCTGTGTTTCTTAACGTTTCTTATACAGTGATCCTCAAGTCAACCCTACACTGAGTCCTGAGATCATTTACCAGAGTGTATCTGTGTATCCTCCACTGAGAAGAAAATGAAGGGTGTAATATGAATACCTACATATAAGGAAGACAATTACAGAACAATGCGGCTTCATGGACTCACATTTGACTTATAATTTGTGAAAAAAAAATTAATCTGATTCAACATAGTCAAGTAAAGTTCGTTTTACACTAGTATTAAGTCACTGTAATTCAGGTACAATAAGGAACAATGTCTTCTAACAATTACAACAGGCAAGACTGTTGTCCTGCTCATTCACTTGCCCATCATGGTTGTGGCTACATCATCTCCATGTTTCTGGGCAATCTCATATGCCCCAGACAGGTGACAAGTTGTAACTTGAAAATAATAATCCATGTGTTCTGTGAGGTAGCCTATGACTAATATAATAACTTTTAGAAAAATCACAGATGTCTAACACAATACTGTACTCAGTAAATGAAGAGAAGACAGAATACAAATATCTAAGGAATGATTTTCCAAATGCGACATCTGATCAGCTCTTCAGTATATTTAGGGAGAAATTTCTGTTTGCATATCTTGAGTTTTTCTCACAACTAAAAGTATATGAAATGCAATAATGAAATGGAGCTTTAAGATACGACTGCAACCAGCTACAAAACCGGTGACCTACAATCTGTCCTGTCCACAAGATGCACAGCAATGGTGGAACAGAAATTGTGGGATCGGCCAACCAATGTCTGATATGAGTGAAGGCTAACTCCAAAAGATAAACGTCATACCCAAACTGCTTGCACAACCAAGGACCAGAGCCTAGACAGCCCAGAAACCTAGGATAAAACCAAACACTACTCATAGGAGAAATAGAAGTGTGAACTAAATAACTCCTAATGATATTCTGCTGTATTCATGGATCAGTGCCTTAGTCAGTCATCATGAGAGACGCTTCCTCCGGCTACAGATGGGAACAGATGCAGACGCCCAAAGTCAGACATCAGGAGGAGAGAGAGTCTACATAGAGGGCTCCATCAAATCCCTCCAGAGTTCAGGGAAACATAGAAAGGATGAGGCAGAGTGTAAGAGCCAGGAGAGATGGAGGACACCAGGACAACAAGACCCTCTGAATGAACTAGGAAAGTGCAAGTGAACTCACAGGGACTGAAGCAGGAGGCACAGGAACTACTCTCATTGGCACCTGGTCCTCTGCATATATACTATAACTTTACACTTCCTATTAGTATATGACTTCTGGATGTGAGGACAACGAGGAAGAAGAGGTGGTTATGAATCAGAAGGGAAAGACTAACTTCTCTAAACTCCATTCAACTATTGTAATCAGTAACCAACAGCAAGTGTACTTACCTACCCTGGCCTGATAGAACACCACACTCTCGGAAAGGGAACGACTTACTTTACCTCTCATATGTTGGGTATAGCTAGATTCAAGGAGATGAATCACTCCTTTAGTTGTTATCCTGTGATGAGCACATCAGGCTCCAGCACATAGCTCCAAACCTATAGTCTCAAATGGCTCTGGTTCATCTCAGTGGGTCCCGGGCCATATGAATAGATATGAACACAGTAGAGTGACTGTTGGAATTGTGGACCAGAGTAGTGGAGAAGTAGGAGAGAGATGGGCAATATTTGAAGTGTACCTGCCCATGTGCACACAAACAGACACATGCACACACACTGTGTTATACATTTATATGCCAGGGTGAAATACCCAATAATAGACAACTGGGGAGGGATATTCATTCATTCATTCATTCATTCATTCATTCATTGTAGACAGGGTTTCTCTGTGTAAACCTGGGTTTTAAAGTGCCCATGTCCTTTTTCTGCAGGATGCTGAAGGAGCATGGTGGCTGCCAGAGTGACGGGTGAGACATGCTGATGCTGGGACAAAGAATGATGTTGACCTGTGAGCTTGCTGAGTGCCCTGACAATGGTGACTGGGAAGCTGTATTGAACATATGTTCCCAACCCACCTTTGCTTACCTATATCCCTGATGGGCAAGCTGCCTTGCCCCAAGTTCTTAGGCCTTGTGGAACAGAGAATGAAAGAGAGAAGTTATGATGACTCTTGTATTTTTCTTATATGTGACCAGTTATTCAGAGTCAATCATGGACTGGTCTAGAAATCAATCCAGTACTGGGAATAACAGTCTTCATTTGGAAGTCTGGTTCTGGACATTTTCAGAGACATATTTGGAAGTTAGCTACAGTTCTCTAGGATGTTATGTTAGCAAGAGATAACATACATGTTTCAAACATGTATGGGTTTTGAACAATTGTATGGGATCTGGGTTTCAAACAAGTGTTAGCACATGTGTTAAGGCTCTTTTAATTGTCAACATTACTTTTGTTTCTTCTACAGTATTTAATGTAAGTTGCATTGACTGTACACTTTCTAATTATATTAGTGTGTTAAAATCTGGCATGTCAGTTTCGGAGGTCTATCAACCAGCAGTTGTTTTATTGCCCTGAGTATCACAGAACTTTGGTATTCTGAAAAAAGCTTGCAAGCACTGGAAGAAGTGAGTCAGGATTTAAGCAGAAACAAGAAGGTAGTGGGCTTGATTATTGCTGGTATAACAGCTTTAATTACATTAATTGCTAGCACCACTGCTTCTGCAATTGCTTTGACATAAGAAGTTAAGACAGATACTTTAGTTAATTTACTAAAAAAAATGTTACTAATGTGTTGAATATACAAGAGGATATAGATAAGCGTTTGGAAGAACAGATTGATGCTCTTTATCCTATTCAAATTATTGGAAGGAGGTTTTAGAATTTAAGAGTAAGGAGCCATCTCGAGTATCATGCCAAATACCATTGGATTCATGTCAGTTCTAAAATTTACAGTGATAGTCATTATATTTAAAAAAAAGTTTAAAGACATGTGTAGTGTATTTGGCATAATTCTAACACCTCTCTGGATGTTTTAACTTTGCATAGTGAGTTTATGAATTTAGTGAATGCTGCTCTGCTAAGCGTTGATGTGGCAGATAGTGCTGATAAAATTACCCATGGCCTGAGATCAGTATTTCTATTTTGGTCAAGCATCAAGTATGACATATATAGCTTGATCATGCTATCCCTTTTTGTTCTGGGAATACTTTTATTCCTGCCCATTGTGTTAAAGCTTGTCTCTAACTACATCAACAGGTTGGCAGCCAAAGTACATGGCTTGAAACTGAAAATGGACCCCCCAGACAGAGCTTTTAAATTAACAGGCTGGCAAGCCAAGGACAGGTGAGATTCTGCACATAGCCTTACCAACCTAAGACATAAATGCATTTATTTTGATAATGCCTATTCCACAATGGGTAAGGAAGGCATTCTTGTCAGAACAATCTAAGACAGGCTTAGTCTGGTTTATGCAATAAAAAGGGGGAGATACGGAGAGATTTTGGGGCTGCCTG